TACATACTTTATTATCAATAGAAAGAGAGTACATGTCATTCACTCTTACACCTTTCACTAATACACTTCATTTCTTAATCAATACTGTGCTAAACCTAAAAGTAATCTCAAAACCTTTTTGAGTTAACACCGGAACTGAAATTAAATTTCGCCGAATGTTGGGTACATAAAGCACATCATGAAGCACAATAGAAGCTCCATTAATAGAGAATTGACAGTTGCCGATGCCCAAAACATCACTCTAGGAGTTGTTGCCCATGTAGATTCTCTGTTCACTAACCTTCTTTTCAGTAAACTCCATGAACATGTCTTTATTTTGCACAATATGCCTAGTTGCAGCAGAATCAATCCACCATGAATTTGAGGAAGGTTCAAGCACCATTGCTTCAGAAACTGTCATGGCAACAGGGTTATGCTCCTTTTCCTGCTTCTTCTGAGGACAATTGGCTTTGATATGACCTTTTTGACCGCACTTGTAACATGGGCCAATTTGATGCTTGTGATGTTGTTGTTTTTGCCATTCTTGTGGTTTCTTCCATCCTTTCTGAAATCCCTTCTTCCATTTTTTCTTGTTGAATGGAGTGTGGGTATTATTCTGTGGTTGTGGTGAAGATTGTGCCATCAACAAGTTAGAAGACAATCCTTCTTTACACATGCGTTTCATTCTTTCTTCTTCCAAAACTAAGAGTACAGGCAATGTTACCATTGAAATCTCTTGTCCGCTATGAGTTAGAGATGTGATAACATGATCCCAAGACAATGGAAGACTATTAAGTATGGTAGTTACTTGCATCTTGTCTGACAAAGAGTGACCAGCGTTGGATAATTCTTTAGCAATTAATTCCATTTGATTAACATGATCACCAACATTATCACTATCACTCATACGAGTGTTATTATATTTGTCAAAGAGCAATTGAATTTGAGTATCTGATCGAACTCCATACTTACTTTCTAGTGCTTCCATTAGTTGTCTTGCTGCTTCATGTTCTTCAAAAAGCAGAATAATGTTATCTTTCATATTATGTAACATAGTTGCCTTTGCCATTGCATCATCTTCTATCCATTTATTTTGGAACCAATTAGAATCATCATCTAGTTTAGAAGTGGATAAAGTATGCAATGTTTTCTCATTTGTAAGAAGATAAGAAATGTGGCATTTCCATGCTCGAAAATTATTTCTATTAAGCATCTCGATTCTTGAAGAATCCATGGTATTTTTAATAGCCATGTTAAAAACAAAATGTGTTACTATGAAAATTCAAATGTGAATATTACAAAAATAAAAATAAAAATAAAAATAAGTAATAAATTAAAGACAACGACAGGTCTTAATAATGGTAAGCCTTGTAGTTGTTGAATCGGCCCTTGTGATGAAGATGATGTGAAGGAATAGAACGGTTTTATTGCATTGGGTAAGAAAAATGATAAAAACCCAATGGCCTTGTAAACCCAATACTTTGCTTATGAGTATTGTAATAATAGTTACGAGCCCAAGGAACACAATGATGCCTTTTAAACAATGTGTCTTTGGATGTTTTCCTTGGTAACACCCTTGGATAGCCTTTTCCTCAAATTTTTTCTTTTGAAAGTGTAGTATAAGTACCCACAGAAAAATTCTTAGAAAAATCCTTGAAATTTTGGCTTTTGAATGACTAAAAACGACCTTGAAATGAGTGAGAACGGGCCGAAAAACCCCTAGAACCAAGCTGCTGCTGATCCAAAATCTGGTTTGAACCGGCTGGGACCGAACCGGCGTTACACGGGGGTCAACACGCGGGTCAGCGCGCGGGTCAAGCACGCTCGGGTCAAGCGGAGCGGACAGGTGCGGATTCGGGAGCAGAGCACAAGGCGATGGGTTGATGCTCGGATCTGGGCTAGCAAGCAGATCGGCGTGTTGGGCCGACTGCGTCTCTGGGCTGCTGGGCTGCTGGGCCATGCCTATGGCTATGGGCTGCGCCTAGCTGTGGGCTGCGCCTGGGCTTTTGGGCTGAAGAAAATTCTTTTTAATTTTGCAGCCCAAAGGAATTGATTTCCTTGCAGTGATTCTTATTTTTGGGCTTTTTCTTTTAATTTTTGAATTCAGCCCAAACCTTTTAGTTTGCAAAACAAAGTCTTCTTCTTGGCACTGTATTTTCCGATCGTCTTCTCCGGTGGAGGTAGGAGTCCAAACATTGTAAGTTGGATCTTGTGGATCAAATTTTCTCCATTTTTCACAACAAATTTCTCCGTTATGATCAAAATTTTGTGAAGAACAAGATGGTGCCAATTTGGAGACCCAATTTGAACTGAAAAATATTTTATAAAATTGTTTCCAACGGTGTAATTCGGACTCACTTTCGGCAAGGTTTGAAACAATAGCACCACCAACAGTTATTTTCTTCGGATAGTTTTCTGGAAATACAATATGTTGATGATGATTAAATAAACAAACCGAATTAACCAATGCCGAAGATTGACAATAAATGATTTTCTAAATTTTTGGTAAAAAGAGTTCGGAAAATTTTTGTTCTTCCGGACTAAAATTCGACATCTGCAATAATGTATAACCTTGCTCTGATACCACTGAAAGATAATCTTAACAATGGTAATTGATCGAAATACCCGTGAGGGTGTTTAATATGCGAGAATATCGATTATCCGAAAGTTAGAAAATGGAAATCTTCTAGTTCATATATATATATATATCAATTATTCCAATCCTGCTGTCAAGTATTTATATACAAATAAGTGACCTTTGGGAATATGTATAATATTTGAATTTGTTTCATACAACAACAGTCACCATGGTTCACTAAAAGTTGTGTCTATTGATGTTTGAATTCAAACCATTAACTAACTTAGAGATAGCTTCAATATTCTTGTGGGAAGGTTCTTTACAATTCGAGAGAGAGAAGATTGAGTGAAGTGAGTCACACCAAATTATGGTGTGGTCACTCTTTATTCTATCATGTCATAGCTTGAGTAGAAACATGGAAAATTTCATGTGCAAACGTCTAAAAAAGCAGTTGAAGCCAACGTGCTTGTTCGCGTTCGCGATTTGGAAAATGCAAAAATCATGCTCTCAGAAGTTTTGTTTCTACGCTCGTGAACAAATAGATTGTGGCCGTGATGGTTGTCCTCCTTAGGTCTATTTAAAGCAAGATCTGCTAAGTTATTTTGTATCTCTCATATATTTTTCTAAGGGTTCTCTCTTAAGATCTTCTGAATATTTCCAATCAAGAGAAACTACTTTTTAGAGAGTTTTTTTTAAGAGAAAAAAAATTTGTAAGAGAGAAATATTTTCGAGAGTGAACTTTGTAGTGAGATTTTGTTGTAATACTGTCATATTGTGCTTGATGATTCATTAACATCTAGGAGCTTCTAAGATTATCATCAAGTTGTAAAAGTTCTTTACATTTTTCAAAAGTGAACCTTGTTGGTGGATTCCACAGTTGTATCTTGTGACTTTGGTGGATTCCAAAGTCGTTTAGTCTTGTGGATTAGACAACCATTATTGTGGATTTTATGGTGGAGCGGATATCCGGTGAAGGATGAGGTGGAGTTACTTGTAGATTGAGTAAATGCATGTGCCCTGGAGTGGCCTTTGTAAGATATCTCTTGTACTACTTTTCTTTTATAGTGGATTATTCGTCTGGCCGAGGGCCCGTGATTTTTTATCACAAGTTGGTGTGGATTCCAATTGTGATTTTTTTCATGTAAAAAAACTTTTGTGTTGTGGTTGTAATGTTTTACTCTCTTTCTCTATTTTGATCATGGTTGCATATTTTTTATTGAATAGCCTAAATCGATAATCACGTAAACATGGGACATATCTAGATTTTCCAAAAGCGTGTTTCAATAAATCTAGTGATTTTTTAATTGGTATTAGAGTGGGTCACTCGTACTTTGTTTTTTCAAAGCTATAGGAGCGTGATCTTTTAACCATGATTATTGATTATGCATTCAATCTCTCATCGTCCTCCTTTACTTGACGAAACCAACTATAGTTTTTGGAAAGCTTGTATGAGAGAATATTTAAAATCTATTGATGAAAGAGTTTGACAATCCGTCATAAAAGGTTGGAGTGAACCCATGATCACTGTTGATCAATGTAGATGGAGTTAGAATTCCCATACTGTCGAGTAAGTGGGATACAAATGATTTTTCTAATATGAATTGGAATAGCATGGGATATCCTTGAAATGGTTCATTAGAGCACAAATGCTGTTAAACATAGCAAACTTCAAAGGCTTACATCTAATTTTGAAATGCTTTTAATGAAAGATGATGAGACATTTGATGCTTTTTATGCCAAGCTCAATGATATTGTTAATTCTTGTTTTGCACTGGGAGAGAAAATCCCTAAGTCTAAAGTTGTAGCTAAAATTTTGAGATCATTACCCGATCGGTTCTATCTAAAAGTTACAACAATTGAAGAAGCTCAAGGTGGCGATAATCTTTAGCTGGATCAGTTGGTTGAAAATTTACAAACTTATGAGCAAGCATTTTTTCAAAAAAGAAAGAAAAAGATACTCTTGCTTTTAAAATCTCTCATAAGAATGTTAAATCTCCTAAAGGATGATAATGATTTTGAATAAAAAATGATGGCTTTATTTACAAAGAAATTTCAGAAAGAGTGCTGCTATTAGCACCTGCCAAAATTCTTTGGATCCCTTATTTTATAATTTTTTTTTATTACAATTACACCCTAAAGTAAAATTACATTAAAAGACATTATTAAATGGAACACCCACATATCAATAAGAACTAATACTCTATAATATTGGACCCCCACCCCCACCCCCACCTCAAACTCCAACTATATGTATTCCATGTTTGTAAACCCTAAACCTATTACTTTTCATAACCAACTAACATAAACCCTAAATCTATTATCTTTCATAATCATCTTAAATCCTGAATGTGTCATCTTCATCACCATCATCAACGCTATTGAACTTGAAAGTTTTGTTTCAAGTATAACGTATACTTCATCACTTATTTCACTGTGTAGAGCAATGGAAGATGAGGACAACAGTTCTAGTGAGACCGACGTTCCATTGGTAAGTTTGTCTGTGTTGTATTAGCATTCTCGGTCGTTCTTATTTAGTTCGAGCTGTTTGGTATTGGTTTGCTGACTGTTAGAATTATGTTCGGTAATACAGTACTGAACATAATCCTGTCGTTCAATATATAGGTTCCGAACATTAATGCAGATAGTCAGTTATGTAATTTTCTTTGTTAAACTACTTAGAATGGAAAAGAGTGAATTGGAATGGATTTAAGTTATGTATTTTGAGTGGATTTAATTCATGTTATTTTAAGTTATGAATTGGAATGGATTCAAGTTACACAGTGATGAACAAATTTTGTTCGGACATACAGTGCTGACAGGATCATTATTGTTCGACAAAACAGTTTTGAACAAAATACATTTTTTCGGCTACACAGTGGTGAACAAATTGTTTTGGGCTACATTCAGAATTCTGATGGCGATTCAGACGATGATTCTGATGGTGATTCAGACGATGATTATGTTTTTCCTCATCTTGCAAATGGTTATGCAAATCCTGTAGAAATTGGAGTATCTTCGATCGATCTCAGCGATGACGAAGATACAAAAAGCAACGAAGAAAATGATGATGAAAGGATGTTCGAGGTTACTGATTCAGCGATACAGAGAGCGTTAAGAGAATATGAGAGTCATCGAAATGCTCCATTGACGGCCAAGACAGCGACGAGAGTGATGGAGAGTTGGGGTCCAAGAATTCTATACTGGACCAAAGCTCCAAACTTTGAAGATTGAGTGAGTCAGGGAAGGAGAGGGATGAAAAATTAGGTGGGTGTGCATTTCATTGTGAAAATATTATGAATATGGGTAGATTTGGTAATAAGTGGGGTGTCCAAAAAAATATTATTAAAATTTAGGGTTTAGGGTTGGGGTCCAAAGAATTTTGGTAGGTGCTAATAGTAGCACTCTTTCAGAAATTTCTGAAAAAGAAAAAGCCTAATTTCAAGGATTTAAATTCAAGGGAAAGTGGTAATGATGAGCAAAAATTTTAAACCCAACAATAAGAACTCAAGATTTCAAGAAATTCAATGCTATGAATGTCATGGGTTTGGACATGTTTCAACTGAATGTCTTTCCAAGAAATATAGAAAGAAAGCGCTCAAAATCACATCAAAATGATGAGAGTAATTCTGAAAATGAGAAAGGAAATGAAGGAACAAGTGGAGGTCCTTTCGTAGCCCTTTGTGCATCATCTTCAAAACATGAGAAAGATGCAACCCACAATGCTTTGGTTGCAAGTCTTGACCCGGCCTCAGAAAATGAAGACACTTTTGCTAGTGAAGATGGGGACTTTCAAGAAACAAATAAGAAGATGTACTTCTAATGTTGTAAGTTGACAAAACAAAAGGGTGAACTCACAACCAGCTTGGAAGAATATGAGAATGAGAAGGATCGGTTGAAAAAGGAAGTTTTGGAGGCTCAAGCAAAGATCAATGTCCTAAAAAATGAAAAGGACATTTTGATTGACAAACTCTCCACCTGTGAAAGTGAGAGATGTCATTTTCTTGGCGCGCATGACGAACTTATGGAGAGAAATGATATTCTTAAAGAAGAAGCTGAAATTTGTGCTAAGACAATAAAATAGTTGAAAAGAAGTGTGCAAAAAGGGAGCTTGAACTCATCGGTGCCAATGCCCCACTCAAGTTGTGGAATACAAGTTCAAAGAATTTAGATGTCGTTCTAAATTTACAACAAATGGTGAGTGTAGACACCCTACTTTTGACCGCCCTTAAGACTTGGGCGCTTTATTCCAAACACTCGATGATGATAGTTACACTGTGCAATCTTTTGAATTCTCAATGAAGAAATTTGGATTCAAGCTCTAATCCCAAACCTTGCACCCCATTTTGGCCAAACTATTTTAGACCTTAAAACCCTCATTTCAAAATATTTTTTTTCAAATGCTTCTACGATGTTCCGAGGCTTGCATTTCGTGTAAAACATTGCACTTTCGGTAAACCGAGCAAGGACAAAGTGGAGATACATGGAAGGGAGGTGAACTCTTTGAAAAAAATCTGTAAAACATCTTATTTATAGGTTTGGAGTTGAAGAAAATAGGAGGGGAGGGAAGAAAACTAGTCCGGATGAGGGAGCATCAATTCAGTTAAGATAGAAATGAGCAACCTTCACTAAATTAGGCATATCTCTATTCAAACTTAGAATTTAGATGTGAGGCCACCACCATTGGATAGTAGACTTTCGGGGCTTCAATTTAGACTCAAAAATTACCTAAAATTGAGTCCAGATGAGAGAGATATGCCCGTTTGAAATCGGGCCTAAAGTGCAGTCTTTGAGACTCGGCTGGGTTCATTGAGAACCGGCCGTGCCTCATTGAGGCCCAGCTGGGCCTCAATGAAAATTTCTCCAGAGTGTTTTTTTAGACCTTGCCTTGTATTTTTAGGCCCGACTGTGCAATATTGAGGCCGACCGTGTGTTTTGAGGCCCGACCGGGTCTCGATGGCGCCAGACAGATAGCTGGTGGAAATTGAACAAATATCTTTGTTTGAAGATATTTTGGACCAAATTGGCTCAAACTCTATAAATAGAAACTCTTCCTTCAGAATTCAAGGTGAGAAAAATTTCCAAAAGCTTTAAAGAGCTAAATAAACTTCCTTCCATCTTTCTTTCTCTTTTGATCTTCAAACCTTCTTTAGCTATACATATGCAATATATACACCATTAGAGCTTGTTCTTGAAGCTTTTTGCTAGAGTTTCAAACCATATTTCATAAACTTGAGGGTGTTTGGAATCAAGTTTGATCAACAACCAAAGCTTACTCTTTTCAAGAGGTATAAGCTTGTCATTTTTGTTTTGCTTTCATTTCAACCTATCTCTATCTATTTCTTGTGTTTTTGTGTTGTTTTAGGCTCATTTCAAGTGTTGAAACATGGGTTTGAATAAGCTACCAAAGGTAGAGAGGGTTAACACCCTTTCTTGCACCTTACTCCATAACTCATCCCCTTTGTTTTATCACTATTTTTCTTAGCTTACAAACTGATTTTTAGAGGTTTAAAGGGCTGAAAAACATGGTTTAAAAGTCTAAAAATTGGAGGGGTTAGCCACCCTTCCTTAGGCTTGCTTACTAGCTTTGTTCTCTTTAATCTTTGCTTACTTTTTCTAACTTTTCAAACTATTTTTTTTAGCTTGTTTTTGGGGTTGTTTTGTCACTATTTTTTGTATATTAGGGGCTGTTTTAGGGCTGTCCTAATTTATTTAATTACTTTAAGCTTTGATTAGTTCATTTGTTGTATCATAATCCTTGTACATAGCTTGTTGCATGTTGTTCTAGCTTTTCTTCAACTCATTTCCATGTTTAAGGACCTCATTTTAATAATCAACTTGCCATTCATCTCTTTCATTTGAGAGTTGTTTCAATTGGTTGACGGTTATTCAAAACATGAACTAGCGATTTACGCTTAATGGCTTAATCTCTACGGAGGTTCATTGCCAATGGTGTAGTCTCATTTTCATGTTGAGAATTACTTCCCGTTTGACGCTTCTCTCCTTTTAGAGGACTTAATCATCACTTCGGAAAAATGGACTAAAGAATGGAAATGACTAAAAGAATTGGTTTAAAAGCAACCAACACACACAAAGATAATGAGTTATCTTGCTTAGGCTTGGCCAGACATTATGCCAAGTTTATCGGGTCAAGAGTGATCATGCGCTAATTCATGACATTTTGATGATTCTTGAAGCGTCTCTACCTCCCTCTTTGAGTTCACTTTATGACAAGAGGGAGGAGTGGTCATATTCATTACATTCATTGATTTTTGTTCAAAATTGTATCTGAAATCATCAAGCAATCAATTTTCTCATTGATGGCTTTGGAAGCAATTCTAACCTTCTCTCGAGGCTTTTCCATGACAAAGAATGAAGGAAGGGACAAATAGAGCTTGAACAACTCTGTCTGCACTGTTTTCACTTCAGAGCACAAAGCAGAATTTTGCATGACATTGAGGCACAACCAGCTTTCTGTAGGCCCGGTCGGGCTTCATTGAGGGCTGGTTGATCATCAATGTTGGGTCAGCAGTGTATTTTCTAGAAAATAGAAGGCAGTGGCTGAAGGTGAAACAGAGCAAAACCTGGGGCAAACAAAGTTGTTCTTGGACATTGTGCATGCAACCCTTGCGCTTCCTTGTTTGCATTTTGATCATTGTTGTAATTAATTAATTTGTAATTATTATAGTTAATTAACTTAGATTAATTAGTTTACTTGTCTTGGATGTCCTTGTTGTGATAGCATAGTTAGCTAGATAATTCTTCGTTTATTCATTTGGTTTTGTAATAATTAGATTAATTCGGACTTTCGGACTTTGATTCGCACCCTCTTGTATGAGGGCCAATTATGTAATAAGTTGTATGTCTTCCAACACCATGTCTTTCTCCCTTTTACTTACTTGCTTACGATGGTTAGTGTAGAACATCATTTTTCAAATTAGCATCTTTATGCTTTGCATCCACTTGTATTGCATGCACCAAGGCTCGGTTCACCAATCAAACTTGCATTGTTGTTTAAATAATTCTTTGAATACGTGCTTAGACCGCATGTTAGCAAATTGATTCACATGTCATAAATTAGTAGCCGAGCTTACTAGTTGCATATCGCTTGTATTACATTAGTCATGGTGCATTGATTAGGGACATGCATGTTTTCTAATTAGCTTGTTGTTGTTTGGCTTGGAGTACTAGGTGAGCCTTTACTCGCTTTAGCATATCGCATGAGTGTGAGTGTTACCATGTCTAACATGCTTTCCATGAGGCTAAGTGTTTGAATGATTAAATGCTTGAATGCCTGTGGATGAAGGCTAGTTGTCTGAACTGGGATTGGTTTGATTAAATGTCCATTTTAGCCCACTCTTTCAAGTGGCAAATTCACAAAACAATTTCAAAAAAAAACATGAGATCAAGTGTTCCAATTCTTGTAAACTAGTCTATATTTGTATGAGCGTCACATAGTAAAGAATAGCTAATAAATCAGAACAAGAGCATATAATGTAAATAAGAAACACGTCATGATTAGTAGAGGCCAATCTTTGATCGGGCGAGTGGGGTGCTCAATTCATGACCTTCCCCTCTCGTACCTAAGTTCTCGAGCCGAGACACTTTGGTGATGACGGACTAATGGCCTTTAGCATGAGCCTTGGGTTTCATAAATTTTCTAAAAATATTTAGGTGGCGACTCTGAAATCTGGCAAAGCAGTCCATTTTTGGCATTTGATTCAAACATTGATTTTCCAAAAGAATTGCCGAATGTGGACTCTTTTTGTCTTTTCACTGTTTCACATTGCACTTGTGAAATCAAATTTAGAACCACGAGATTCTGAACTGTAGGGCTATTCGTCTTCCGAAATGAGTGCGGAAAGCCGAGATACAGCGAGTGACAAGAGTGGACTTGGCTATTACAACAATCTCAACTCCAAGCCCAAAGCATCTATATCGAAAAAGGAAAGCACACAAGGTATAAAGGATTTTGTCAAGGCAAAAGGTAAGATTTCTTCAACTTCTAGTTTATCTCATAAAAATGTTGTCAACAAGAAATTCATACCTAGTTGTCATAATTGTGGAGAAAGTGGTCACATTAGGCCTCATTGCCTGAATTTGTGTAAGACTAACCATGGCAGGGGTGGAGGTGCTTCTAGACAAGTTCAAAAGCCACAACATTTGCACAAGCGGAACATTCAGTGGGGTAAGTCAGCTACAAAATATCCAAGGGTTGGTAAGCCGGTACTTTG